AACTCATGTCTACACCAGAACACAAATTGAAATTTGAGGGTGTATAGCAACTTAAGTTGATTGGTTAAGGGTTGGCCGCAAACACCTTGGTGGTGTAGGGGCATTTTAGCTAATGAATTTATTCATAACCTTATTTTGTATAGGCACTACATTTCCTATTATTTTTATTTTGAATGTTGGAAAGCTTTGTATGTTTGAAGAAGATTGTCTCGCTCTCCAACTGCACTGTTTGTTAAGTGAAGACCTATTCACTACTAGTCTGAACGAGGTAACGCAAACTAGCATATTCTGAACACAAACTTAGCTTCTGTTTCTTTTCTTCTTCTTTTCTTAGTTGTAGAAGTAAATCTCCTGACTTTTTTTAACATGAATTTCATATACACGTATTAATATTTAATTTTATATGTTGCTTTTTGTTGCAAATTATTAGTTTTGTGAACACTTTTTGCCACATTCGTATTATATTAATATATTGGTCATATGCCACATTCCAGACTTCACCCAAACTGAAAACTCGTGAGGCAAATGTAATTTTTCACCGGTAAGGGTAGACATCGTTATGGTTACAAAAGTCATACTTTCATAATCTGATCATGGTGGCACCAAGTTTTAGTTTGCTTAACTAGAGTATTATTCCACCAAACACCATATTAAATCTGAAGGAATTCAATATTGATGCTTATGTTCTGTCCTCTTTCATTCAGTTGAAGAAGAAGTCCTTGGCTTGATTTTAAGTTCACCATCACCACAAGCATACACTATTTTAGGACGAAAGATAATGAGCTGTTTATCATTATCAGACGACCAAATAATTCAATGGTTTTTCCAAGAAGCAACATAAGAAGATAGGTCGCCATCACAGTTTTTACGTAACCTTCACGTCCTCTTGGGAGACAACACAGTTAGTGAAGCAGTCCGAAAACAAGGACGAATATAAGCTCTCCCACTCTATTTCCGACACTGTTCGGATCTATAAGACTCGGACACATCTTTCTATCATTGCGCTTATAGTATATAGAATGTTGGAAAGAGGTCTCCCAACTGGATGAGGTGCGATACATCATACACAAAAAGAACAATCGTCAAAACAACCAGTAATAGCAGAACTCATTGTGAGTGGTGAACGTTTTACAAAGGCTGTCACCGAAATGCAAATGGGTCATTAAAACAAGAGCAGGTCAACACAACAACCGAGATCTAGGTCACAGAGTGGGTAACTGACTTCTACATAATCTTTAAATTACTGTTGGCATCACTGGAAGTTTGCTATCAAATCGACCAAATTCAGTCAACAATGTGCCTGACCCAAATACACTTCTAAAGATTTGGGAAACGAATATTCACCCTTCAAATCGCGACGACTGAGGAGGAACGACTAAACAGACACTTTTTTGTGTTAGAGACCGAAATCCGGGCTAGAACTTCTTAGAGAATACTTGAGCTGCTTATAGTATCATCCCTCAGAACAAAGCTGAACTGGGTCAGGAAACATCCTGAGTTACACTTTGAGCTGCCAATAAAACTAAAATCGCTTCAGCAGAAAACTCTGACACCAGACTTGGGGTTCAAGAGGCAATTTCCCTGGGTTTTCACCATAGCCGATTGTGATCTGATATCCCTATGAATCGACTTACTAGAGAGGTATGAATTTCTAGTCGACTTTAAAGAATGACGCTTCGAACTTCGAATTACACAAAGGGCAAAGAAAGTCACACCACTCCTCTAAAATGGTACAAACTCTGCTAGCAACAGCGGCGAAATTCCAGAGTATACTCGCAGAATTTCCTAACATAACTAAACTGAACCCACAGCCTTCCTAAAGCAAACTAAAATTATGTCATACGATCAAAATCGAAGGTACACCTGTGTCTACATAACCCAGGAGACTAGCACCAGGTAAGATTCAAATCACTAGAGCTAAATTCAACTACGTGTTGTAGCTGGGTATTATCCACTCGTCTGGTAGCTGATGGTCATTCACTTTGCATATCGTCCCATAAAGAATAAAGGCAACTGTGCGGTGGTTACAGACCCCTCAATGGCTTATAGAGTATGAACCCAATTGATAAAATTGACTTGACGAGAGAATATCACATCATCTGAGTAGCATAGGAAGTTATCCCTAAGACAGCTATAACTACATCTTTCAGACTGTTCAAATGATTATGTAAACCATTCGATCTGAGGGACGCGGCACTTCTGTAGCTATTCCTCACCCTCTTTTTTCTTACAAGCACTGATCACTATACAGAGGGCACATAGTAAACAATCAGCGATGGTTGTGGAACAAATTATGTGTTAAGAGATAACAAGCTACTAAAGTAAGACACATCCATGAAGTGTAGTCGAATACTGACTGAGTCGGTCGTCATTGATTGAAAGTCGAACATTGAACGAGTTAGCAGTTCTCTATTAGGCTGCAGAAACAGAACGGAGGTGTTCTGCATAGATAGGTTGATCGAACGGACGTTCCTAAGGAAGTCGGTTCTAGAAGGAAGCCAATGTAACAACTTAGGTTTATTAGTTAAGAGTTGGCCTCAAACAACTGAGTACATATCAAAATAATAGAGCTCAAGTAATCATTCTCTTCCTTACTTCGTATAGGCATCATATATCCTATTGTTTTATGTTAAATGTTGAAAGGTTTTGAGTGTTCAAATAGGTAAGGCCCCGCTCCACTGTGTCTGTCTTACCTGAAATAAAGACCAATTCACTACCAGTTTCGTTTTTACTATCAATGGAACGAGGGTCACCTTCAGGCACGAAATACTGACCCATTCTTTGTTACTATTTTATAATGTCTGAAGTAACTTACGGTCAGAGAATATCGTACAATTGTGAGTTTCGTGAATTAACGCACAGCTCCCTCCCGCACTCGATTCACTATCTTCCTGAGTGTCAAGATCAATAAATCGCATAAGGCCGTGGTTGTTCTGACTGCAGTATTTTCTTACATTGGTCGATTGCCAGTGACAGTCATGACTAATAGAATCTGCAACAGTGTGGGGTACGAATTAACTCGGTCCCTAGGTGACTTTAGGAAATACAGTATTACCATAATATAAATATTAACATAAATTATATCAGTTGGTTAGTCCGTAATCCTCTGATTATGTCGCCGACTACCAAAATCCCGTTAAATTTTAAGACTCTCAGCATCTTTACTTTTTTTCTTAGTACTGTTATAACTTTCCTGGTCAGCGGACGATTTCCGTATCCGCAGTCATATACATAAGCTAATATATTTGATCGAGTTTGGTAATGAATCCAACTTCTGGTAGGTTCACACAAGTGTTTTTCAAACAACTTTCCATTTGAATGCATTTTGTGCCCAAGATCTCTACATTGTGTTTATTTCCTTCCAGTTTACTAATCCGTTTCGGAAACTAAACACTTATGTGTACCCGAACACTTACCGTTTATAGTCGTACATTCCCCTTTCATATTTGATCATTTTAGACAAGGAGTGGAACAATTCCTTAGGATTAGCTGGATTTAATCGTTTTTCTTCGAAGTAGATTCCTTTAGATTTCTGACCTAAGGGCAACTCTAGACGCAGGTGAGTAGACACTTGATAGCTGGTCAGAGCATGGTGAAATCGTACCTCACCAACATATTGTTGGGTAGACCTCTCGCGACATCTCTTCAAATATTCTTGTTTCATTTCCTTACCCTTTATTTCCTTACAAGCTCTCATCCTCATACAAAGGGCAAGTTCAGCAAGTCATGATCTTTAAGTTATGGAAGAAATCCATTGCTTAACTATAAGATAACAAGCAAGTTAAGAATAGGACATCCACGAAGTATCTCTGAATATTGACAGAGTGAACGAGCTAGTAATCCTCCTTTAGACTGTGGATACAGGAGTGACACGTACCTGCTGACACTCCCATGGAAGTCGATTCTGAGAGGAAGCTAATATAACAAGAAAGGTTGAATGTTTGAGAGTTGACCAAAAGCACCTAAATAAATGTCAGGGTATTAAAATATAGATATATAGATATATATAGATTATATTTCCTATTATTTTATATTGAACGTTGAAAAGCTTTGTGTGTTTGACAAGGGTACCTGCTGCTACATTGTGTGCTATCCCACCATCTAAATAGAGACTTATTTGCTACTAGTCTTTTTGCTTCTAATAATAAGGACAAGGAGTACCCACCGGTACGAAAAGTGAATACTGAAAAAAACGATGCAGTTGTGATTAGAGGTTTGAAACGGTCATAAGCTGCCGTTCTGGAATCCGAAGATACTACGGATATTCAGGATTTAACAAGGCCTTTGTACGTAACATTTTTATAATTGAAAGATACCAACTCAAACAAACCAGATGTCAGGGATGATTGAGTTCCGAGGTATAATTGAAAGGTTGCTGATATGCGGAGAAGCGTTTGATTTAAACCGTCTGGTTATTATGGTAAACACACTGCATAACGTTCCTACTGGTAATCTGGTACCGATGTGTGGCCAAAAACCTTCAGCTAGGATGTATCTAGTGAAACTAAAAAAGAGCAACAAACACGACGACTGACTGAATTATTTATCAACGTGGTTTGTCTTCTGCTAGACATCAGTGGTGCCAAATAGCTATTATCGGCCACATTACAGCTTCGGAAACTGGGAAAACTTAGTTCAAACATACATTTGAATGTGTTTACACCAACAGTTTTACCGAAAATCCCCGTAAACAAATTTAAATGACTTCGGCACAATTTCACCCTACTTCTATAATGTTAAAAACATTAGACTTTGGAAACTAGGTGTAGCAATATCAGAATCAAAAGAATGTGATTAACTGAAAGACCTATGAAACGAACCATTGTAAAGTGATATCCCCAACAACCTTTTTCAGAAACATGAATGATCTCCAACACATGATACCGATTTCTTCGTCGTAGATCAAATACCTCAAAACACATTCGGCAAAATAAGGGGCCTTTTATGGTGTCTCACCTGTATCACTGAAAACTCCAAGTCACTCCAGAAACGCGCAAACGAACGAACCTCGCTGTGAATGGATAAAAGTTACAATGAGATACCTATGACATTTGAAACCATTTCTAATAAAGTGAATACCCCAGAAGGTGATCCAGTTCCCCTTTAAATCACCTGCAATCATATGAAGACAGGAATAGAAAGCGGACAATAATTGTATATTGGATGTTTACCTATTGACCTTCAGCTATTTCAATAAAAACCGCAATATTCACAAATTCGGCATATTATCGTGTTTTTTCAATTTTATGTTTAAGCACAATTGTTAAAATGTCTAAGAATGCGAAGAAAATCGTCGGTGAGAAACTTCAATTTGAAGATGTCGTAAAATTTACTGGGTCCTCTATCTGTAAAAGTCATGGAGATAAACTAAAAGAAACTGCAGCAACACTCATATTGACAAAAGTTGACTCAAAACTCGAACTATCAAGCCACCTGAAGTGTTATGAAACCCACATCTCATTTTATCCCCAAATATTGGTCACTGGTATTAGACTGGAGGGTCGAATTTTGCTTCAAGAGATACTTGGATTTTTTGTTTCTCCTAAGCATCCCAAATCTTTGGTAATTCTTTTTCAGCGATCGCCGTTGGAAGACGTAACATTATACGGTATGGTTTTGAGCTCTTCTTCTAAGGCTCAAAAGTTGGCTAGATTTCTTACAGAACCAAATCCTCAGTTGAACGTGAAAGGAGAACCATCAGGTCCAAAAGTAAAATCTGTTACAATAGGTCCGAATATACGCAAATCGCCTGAAAGTTTCTACAAAGAATCCAATGGTGTACTAAAAACCCATGAAGTTTTAAATACTCTTCCGCCAACAGGTAACAAATTTCGTTCAGAAGTTACATGGAATAAAATGCCGGGAAAACAAAAAGAAAAATTTCCTCCGGGTAGTACAACTGTTCATTTTAATGGTCGTTTACCACGCGAAGACAATCAGCTCAAGTTTGGTAGGCAAAGAATCCCTCAGGTGAAAAGTACTCATTTAATGAACAGTCACGAGGGGATGAATAATAATCATCCACACAATGTTTCAAATATATCCAAGTTAAGTAGTTTTTATCCTGAAAGTGCAAAAGGTCATGTTTCCTTTCGGCAGTCTACTGCTGCTTATAACGACAAGATATTAAATTATAGTAATGGCCCGATAATTAATTCCGAAAGAGCATCTGAGGAAAGCGGATTCGATACTCCATTCCCTTATGATCCGAATGAAAATATTGAAGAATTTTCTATTGGATATTATAATACTGAAGATGGTTTTGGTATAGACGATCGTGATATACCTCACACAAAAAATGAAAAAGAAATAGACACAAACGATTCTCAGGAAAACCCTTGGGTTGAAAACATAACTTATATAAGCAACAATAAGAATGGTAAAGCAACAGTTACTTCAAATGGGTCTGTATATTTATATGTTGCACAGCAAGTCAATCCAAGATTCGAAACGATAAGTAAGTTGCTGCTAGGCCATGTCTATGTATATTTATGAAGTAAACTCTAGTGGGTATTATCATGCATAAGGCAGGTAAAGTATTACAAGTATCATACGTTTATAAGTATTCTAAGTTTATTTAACATATAAGATGTTGCAGTACTTTATTTAGAACAAACATGACGTTTATACGTTACTTATTAGTTTAAGCCATTTTTATTAGCTGAGGTTGAGGAATATGGAACTTATAAATATCCTAAATTTTATTCATAGAAAACTATAGACTAACTTCAAAAGTTTACAATTAATATTTTACTGTTTTCAAAAGAAATAAGTCTTTTAAAATTTAGTACTTTAGGTTGACAAAGACAAATAGGAATAAGTTTGTTCACTTAATTTTTTCATGATTTCTGAGTTACAAAAGTAAGGCTAAGTGTCTTAGAGTAGTTTTGAATGTGAATATTTATTTGTATTTTGAATGTAAACCATCTGCAAGGACATTACTTTACTTGCTTTTGTCGTGCGCTTAGTAAAAGTTTTAACATTTTGTGTTCTTATCTTCTGTCGACTGAATTTTAGCCATCTAAGATAAAGTGAAACTTGGAGAATGTAAGAATATTTAATTTGTTTCTGGAGTAAGAACTGTTTGTGTTAGAAGTTAGAGTTGTACTCCTCTTTGAAACAGAAAATTTTCAAACTAAGATAAACGATTTCTGGGTTAGTTGATGAATAGACTGATGTGACTCAATTTAAGAGCAGTGAGTTCCCCTGAAAGACCTAAATTTTCACTAACTATTTCAGTGAAAACAACCAAACGTTGGAGCAAACCAACATATGTATTATAATACTATGAATGTTTACAAACTATTTCTATTTTTTCTACTAATATTCACTTGTCAGTTCTGCTAAGATTTGCCCATTCTCTATCCAAAATGCTTGCAACATTATTTTTATATTCTTATCCGACTCAAAATGCTACCCAGGTAGATTGGTTACATTTGCTTGTTGCTTTAATGAAGCTGAAGTGAGAAAATAACTTGTTCCTTGAGACTCTATGATGTTATGTAACCAATGATTTAGCTTAATTAAGTTCTCTTTATTGTTCGCCATCATTTATAAATTTTGTTACAGAACAAAACATCTGATGCAGCCATTTCAAAATTGCTTGTATCGTTTTACCTTGCCACATCACACCTGCATACTTTGGTTCAGATTGAAAAACATTCAATTCTGGCTATGACTCTGGAAAGTGTCCTTAGTTACTCATGTTTAAGTGTATGGCTCTAAGTGTTTCTCCAGCTGTTGATTTGTCAGTGTTTTACACAGCAATTTTCTCAAGAAAGCCAATGTCATGAAGCTTTAGTCTTCCTGGCATCACTTCTCCGCAAAGCTCAGAAATAGATCATCAGCTTATCAATAGTAATAGTCTTTTATGTGCAGTTGGGCTACAAAGTCCAAACAAAGTGAGAGTAAGCAGCAGTGGGAAGCTGTATATTTTTGTAATATTCCTCTCTATTTCAACATAGTGCAATTGACATTGAATGAAGGATAAATTTCTTCATCAAACGAATAATCTTCTCAACAGGGAGCCTTAGCCGAATACTATAGTGCTGGTTGAGGACTCGGATGCGTACTTGGGTACTAAACAAAGTGGTTTCTGTGACCAACATGAACTCATCGTTCGCAGGTCGGATTATGGGGGGCTACCTCCTGCAGCTTTTTTCATAAGACAAAATAATTCTAATCAGTTTCGATTTCCGGAGGAGTTCCAGTTGACTACTAACATGATACTTTGTGTACACAGGTTGTTTACACGATGTAAGCTGTTGCAGTTAAAGCAGATTAACCTGATGAAAACAGCTGCATACATGGTGACTATTAGAGGCTAATGAGACTAGTCCAAACCTCCGACAGTAACAAGCCTAGGTTCGAAGAAACATTTGATGACAAAATAGTACAATTAATTTCAAGAAATACTAATAAGTGTTCGGGTATGATTATAGGAGTTTAACTGATAGGACTGATAGGACTATCGACTCAGTGGCTTCCACACTGCTCTTAATTTGCTGCTTATAAGACAATCCAAAAGTTAGTTATTTTATGATACGACTTCGTGGTACAAAAATAACCCTCATAGGACTAACATATATTGGCTAATCACAGAACTGCGACTGAAGTTTTAAATTTTATGGACCATGATTTATCCAGCGACTGTTATAATATAGTTTTATGCTATACTCTTAATTAATATAAAATGAATCCTATTACACAAATTTTTTTATTTTGCTTGCATCTTTAGTCACGTTAAACTTATTGAATATAATTTCTAATCTGGTAGTAAAGTATACCGATCTGTTATTCTATATTTCTCGATAAATTTATCGATCTCCTTCGGACGTCTCATTTTTAGAACCCCAACAACACCATTTTTTGTTACAAATAGAACAAAATCAAAGAAGATTGATTATATTACCATTAACTGAAATCCATATACAATCAAGCATTCTCCTTGAATGATCCGCATGCACAGTGCTATTGTCTTCCCAAAGACGGAGGTAAAATTTGGGGAATGTTCACTTTGAGAGTGTCAAACTTCATTACTTTCCGAAATTACGGTGCAAGTAGTAACTTTCAGATAGTATAGACCCAATACTATGAAACTAAAAGTAAATACGTACTCAGGAGCGGTTAGTTACTTCGGCTCTTTTATCACTCTCTCAATTGTTATATATTATCAACTTTCCATCCTATTGCATACGCAACCAATTTTTGTTAAAATCTAACAATACAAATGTAATAATTCAAAGCAGAACTTAACCGAACAGGTTTGATAAGGTTTTATCGTTCTCTAACTGCTGAATATAGTATGATTCTATAGTTTTGTCCTTTTATTTCATTTAGACGGCATTTGTTCATGTCGAGTTGTCTATTACCTTTAGTGTCATAAGTTAGTGTTTTCTGACTTTCATTACTCAAGCTTTCTTCCACCAATTAGGTATAATGCACAGTAATGCTTTAACTTTTATGTGATGCATATTTTTTTCATACCCCTAAAACTTTACTAAATAAAGGCAGCAGAAAGTGGCTTAACATTTACTCTAGTGATATCATCTTTGCATCATTTTTTTCGTCCAGGTTATATGGTCCATGTGGTATTTGTTTTATTCTCACTGCCAGTAGAAAAAATCTAGTTCGAATTACTAATAGAGGAAATTAATTGATGTATCTTTTTTCTAAAGTTATATAACACATTTTAAATTATCAATTTAAACAAATTGTTCGCGCATATTTACTATAAAAAAAGCAATAGAAAAAGAATAACTCACAAATTAACGTCATACAATCAAAAAACCTATTGATTAATAAAGCCAAAAATTTACACTTTTGTGTTGTTGGTATGACAAATCGGTACATTCGACAAGAGTTTCCTTTCGAACAAAAGAGATAAGATTGTATAACGGAAGCTTATTTTTGATGACCAAAAGGTCTCGGTAATTGAGTCGAGTGTTATATGTACATTATGAAGCGAATTTATGTCTACTAACCTTACTAATATACTTTACTCTTATCATGTTTATTATGACTGAAATTCACTTCTACTTTTCTATTGTTTATGTCATAGCTTATTAAATTAAACAAATTATCTACAATCTTTCTGTTATTCATTGTAGATTAAGAAGGGTGAAATGTGTTTACGCAGTAATGTATCCATTTTTTTTAATAATCAAAAGGAAACAAATCAGATGTCGTCATGTGATTATTTTCAGTATCGTTAACATAAAATTTAAACATTGTACATAAAACTAAAAATGTAAAGGTTTAGAATAATATTTAAACCAATTATTGATTATTTTATAAATATATTTGTTTGTACAAGAATGTGTTTTCCTATTAGGATGGTCCTAATCGTTTCTCTGTATATGCTTACGAAATAAAAGTTAGGGTTGAGACGCCTTATTTATCACTGATCAGGATATATTAGTTTGTTAAAGTAATATGTAATTAATAAAGTTTGAGTTTATGTTCAAGTGAATAAACGACATCTTATGATTATCAGTTTTTTGGCAGACTATTGGAATTCGGAAGTGGTTCTCATCTCGTACTAACAATAGATGAGGGTATTTTTATAACCAGAGAGAATCAATCATTTACTTTCCTCTTGAATGGTATTTTTGACTTCTTATATCAGGAACTGATTGAAGTCGTGAATATTACCCATTTGATTTTAACTCAATGACATGAAAGTTACGCTTCCAACGAAAAACGTGAAGGTTCTGATTTCTATCCATAACAAGGTCATGAGCACGCATAGCTGAAAGGTCCTATAGTAGGAAGAAAAGGCTGTCAAGTGCTCTATAGGTTCACTACTATTTTATTTGGTCTCGTTCTGGTGCAAAAGACATTTAAGAACTTGACTTTAAAAAAACTGCCTAATCAAAATTACTGAATCCTTTAATTTCAAAGATAACGATCTACAGAAATAAGGGGCATATATTTGTTAAAAGTGAAATAATTTAACTAGTAATCTTGTATCACGCCATTAAGAAATAGTAATTCAATTAACTTAAAGGCAGTCTAAAATAATACTTCTGTTTTTCTAGTGGCTGTCGTGACTGAAACGTATAGTTTTATTAGATTTATTTCAACCATGAATGTATGTTATTATTAATAAAGTATAGTGGAAAGAATGATCTTGAAAATCTTTGAAAGAAGAAGACGAACAACAACAAAGAAATGGACAAGTGTGTAAACATACAAGATTCATTTATGTTTAATGATGAAATTAATTGATCAAAATGAGAAATTCCAAAGCATTAACGTTAGCTAATCGAAACTAGAAACGGAAAGTAGAGTTTAGATAGAGTAAAAGAAGGCAATCGAAATTTTAGTATTAGATATATGATTTCATGATTTTAGGCTATCCACTAATTATTTATATACTTAAATGAATGTGTAAATAAAAGTCAGAAGTAAATGATTTTTTTATCACTGAATTCCATAACAACTATGATTACTGTTAGTTCACTGATTAGATCAAGTAGATTCTACGTAATCTGTATTGAGTATAGAGGGAGTATATTGGCTATCATAAAAATATGACGACACTTAATAAAATATTATTTGTTAGTCAGTAAGATTTCTTTAAAATGTTTATTTTATTATTTTATAACACATTCAATAAACAGAGAAAAATATCGGTAACAAAATTAGGTTGATAAAGTTATTTAGTTACTTTTTCAGTTTGATTTTGTCAGAGAAATACAGAATCATATACTAGAAGCTTTCACTTTCAAGATACTTATTTAAATCATCAACTGGCCAGTTGGTTATGAATAATATGATTTAATCTAACTCTTGACGTTCAGCTGATTACATCAACCAAGTTTCAGTGGCACTACTGGATAAAATAATAGTTTAGATTAATCTATAAGTGAACAGAAATTTTTCATAGGATTCGGACCTAAGTTACAGTGTTGTGACTTATCTAATTCTATCGGGTATAGAAACATTATGATATTGGTTACTATTAGGTCTAGGTTCGGTGGTAGCGATAGCGAGTGACCTATATTGACATACAATAAAAACATCTGTTTTATACACTTTAGAGTGACCAGCGGCAACCACCGCAAAAAACAAGTCCACTACCTGTTATTCATTGTCTCTAATCATCTAAAGTTTACTTTCCTCAATCGATTAAAGCTTGCTACCATCCAAGAAAACATGCTATGTCTTGAATAGAATGAGGCCGCATATCCTTATAACTGTAATCATATAAACCAATTTCGTGTTACCTATATAACAAGGTTACTGATAAACAGTAGTTTTCGATAACTTATCAGAATATGCCTTTCTGTAATCACTTGATAGTTTATTAATTATGAGAAAAATTGCATTCTATTATATTAATAATTAACATATGTGCTCATATAAAAATATCAATTAGCTGTGCTTCATAAGTGAGTATTTTAAGCATACTTGCAGTGTTGATTATCATATTAGAGTGAAAAAGTCAACACTTTCAGATCGTGAGACACAGTAAGACAGTTGATTATTCACAATTTATGATTCGTAATTAGTGTGTACCTGACAAAAAGTTATTCAGCATGGATTTGAGGGAGATTCTATTGATAACCATTGTTAAATTCAATAAAAGTTACATACTTAATGTGTTCATGATTCATTTTCAAACTAACATAGCTGAAAATAATACCTATGATCAAATATTACCTAACATTTCTCTTCATCTCCGTTTCAAGTTATGTTCAATCACAATTATACAATATTAACCTTCTACTTAGTTAACAGGTTTTTAACAACTTAAGAACATGAAACAAATGAATTTGTCAATTTACCATCATATAATACGTAAATTACTAATTTGTATATCATAAATTATATACTTCTATCAAAAATATTTTTCCGAATTATTTATAACATCAAAACTACAAACTATGAATGAACGAAAATTTTCTTTCATGTTCTTCTTGGCACTTTTCAATAAACGGAAACAATGATACATATATCTATGTACACAACTATTATATCTGATACCAATCAAAATCAATATAGATTTTTCATTTCAATAATAAAAGAATACATTACTATCTATGATCAACAACTACTGACGTTAATACATTATGAATCATATGAATATAATAATCACAGAAAATTATACAAAATAATATAAAATGAATAATATCATTTTAGAAGTAAAATATAGTTGAGATCATGAGTCAATTAAAGCTAGACCACCATGGAAAACCTGAAAGCACTTAACGGATGTTTCGTTTTATCGTGGGACTCCTCAGCAGTGTGCATCCATGATCCCACCTCACGAGAATCCAACCCAGGATCTATCAGTCTCGCGCTCGAGCACTTAACCATTAGACCACTGAGATGGTTGGCACCCAACGGTGTTAGTGTCTAACTTCAACCAATCCATGAAATTAAGCAACCATTTAACAATGTCTTCAGTGAGTTGATATCTCCCAACAGACTTGGTTGAACCCCACTGAGGAGTCCCACGATAAAACGAAACATCCGTTAAGTGCTTTCAGGTTTTCCATGGTGGTCTAGCTTCAATTGACTCATGATCTCAGTTATATAAAATTACTAAAAATCTCTACGAAACCCCTTTCAGAATTAAAAAAAATTATCAACAAAAATGATGTATACAGAGATTATCATCTATTATCATCCATTACTGAGTAAAGTTAGTTAGATATGAAATTCGAAACAAAAATTTGTAACATTAATACCTATAAAAGTGTTTATATTAATATGTAGATGGTTTTCACTGATATATAGATTTCTTGACTATCCAAGATTATTTAGCTATATATATAGTTCCAGCTTAATAATGTACTGTAAAACATTTTAGAGAACAGAACAGTTCAATATAATGAATACAGTGTTATTAAAATTAACGTTGGTAGATAAAATAAAATATCAATAAAGCAATGATTAGTAGTAAGTAACCTATTTTATGCTAATATTTGTCTAACACTACCACTGATCATCATTGAACAGTAGCTAATGTCTTATTACATGTTTGGGGAAATATGAAATAACACTTTGGTGTTATAAAAGATGATTTATTCACTCTTTATCTTCCTTCAAATCTTAAGTCTCAAAATAATCATATACTCTTTAAATAAGAATAATATATTTGTAAAATCTCAGAGAATGAATTTGAAGTAAATCGAACGTTTCGCCTGGCAATCTGGTCCAAGCTTTTTCAAGGAATTATTGAAAGCTTGGAACAGATTGCCAGGCGAAACGTTGGATTTACTTTACATTCATTCTCTGAGATTTTACAAATATATTATTCCTATTTAATTTCTTACATCAACTCGGCGCCCAAATACTGTGAAACTATTCACTCTAATTTAGACGAAGGTTCATATATAAATCATATACTCTGTTTTCAAATTCCTCGAACTCATTATCTCTTCTCGATTTATACTATTTGTATTTAATCTATATTACTACTAACAATCCCGTTAATAATTTTATTTCTTTATGCTATGACGACATGAAACAACATATATTGAAATTAAGTTCTACATTCAATATGACTGACTGACTGGAAAAAAAAACCCCAGTGTTTAATAGTCTTTTACTTCGAATTATTCGATTGTTTCCTTTCAAAGTAAATACATAACTATATATACATATATAATTTACAAAAATAGAAATGAAACTACATTGATATTTCATTTTTCTTATATTCATTATTCAAATGTATAATTAAGATGTTTGATTAATCATTGTTAACTAAGTTTTAATTGAACATTCTAATATAATTTTAAGGTTATTCTTTGTTCTATTAATTATAATCATAGAAATAGAGTTAATTATATCAGTATATATATATTACAAATCAAAGTTGACATATCTTTCATTTGATATATAAAAATAAAAGCTATTTATTGAGCATAGTAACAAAATGGTTATAAATATGAAATAGTAATAGAAATAACATATGGTTATTGATTTCATGGAATGTATTCTATTCCATATAGAAAAGTGAATTAAGCGATAAGTGAATGTGGGTAGTTGAGTTATGTTTCAGAATTTATACATGATTATTATTATTATTATTACACAGTATAGTGGCTTAAAAACAGTAGAGATTACACAATGGTGTATATATATATATATATATATATATATATATATATAGTAATGGATAATTAATCAATAATTCACAAGAATAAATTGATATCATGAATAGATCAATGTTAAACCATCATTGATCCATTCATAATATCAATCTATGCTCAATAATCTTTATAACCCTTTACTGATAGTTCACAAGTACTTAAATTTAATATTTTTTGGTGTTATCAAAAGAGCTTAACCAAAGAAAAATTAAAATACTGATGAAATTTAAAATGTATTGAACAGCTGATTTTATTCTAATTTTATACTACTGAACAATAAATGCTTATAATGTTTAGAACTTCCAATCCGAACTTTAGTGATTTACTTAACTATATTTGAAGTGAAACACATTTTATCGATTATCTAGTCATT